GAGGTCTCTCTTGGGCAGTTTTACAACACCTAGGAGCTGTCACGTCATTTTCATTCAACCACATCCCCAGCTTCATGGAAGCAGAATGGCAGCTTCCTACTCTCTGGACTGCAGCTGAAGTCCTGTGAGTTTGACACCAGAGACAGTTGTCCCTTCTGCTCCTCCAGCCCTTGCAGTGATTTCTTCAGCAACTCAATTCTTGGCCTGCTATCTTTCTGCTTGAACTATTTTGTTTCCTGATTATAGCCCAACTAAGGCAGAGGGTAATCTCACACAGGGTTTCATGGGTGTTTCATCTAATAGAGCCCCTGGATATTGATTCTCATAATTTTGGAATCGTTCTACACACACACACACACACACACACACACACATCAATCCAATCATGACAATAGAATGTCCTCTGCTTTGGGGGGAAAGTGAGGCAGACCTGGAAGGGGCACAAGGGAACTTGTTGGGGTCGGGGAGATGTTCTGTATTTTCATATGAATGGTGGTCACGTGGGGGCTACACACGGCAGAGGCACCAGTTATTCGCCTAAGATTTGTGTGTATCGTGGCTGAGGATGGAACTCATGGAAAAACTCACCTAGCCTACTCAAAGCCCTGGATTCCATCCCCTGCACAAGAAGAAAAAAAGAAGATCCATGCATTTTACCACGTGTAAATCACACCTATGAGTTTTTTCTTTATTGCCGTGGGTTGAACCCAGGACTTTGCACAACATATACTCTGATGCTGAGCTACATACACCTCAGTTCTTAGCCCCTATTAGTTCTCTTAAAAAAAAAAAAAGATGGATGTTGTGTTTATTACATATTGGATGAGCTTACTTAAATTCACATGGTTAGAAAGTGTGTACACTCAGACCACATTATGTAGTTGCAATGCACTCTGAATCCTGGTTCTGATAACTCAGAGCAGAATCTTTGGAAAATAAGCTAAAATCTATGTTCTATCTGAAAGGGTAACAGAGCTGACGAATGGATGTTTCTAAGTCTGTAAAGCAGGAAAGAGATAGTCTGATAGTCAAGTACCCTTGCTTTTTGTTCCTGTAACAAGATGCTTGAGGCTGAGTCTGAAGAAAGAGGTTTCTATAGCGTGCAGTTTTAGCGGCTAGAAGTCCAGCCTTGAAGCCCCATCAGTTCAGCCTCTGCGGAAAGGTTTCCGAAGATGGCGTCACAGGGGTGAGAGAATGTGCAAAAGAAGTCACGTGAGTGAAGGAAAACCAGAAAGATTCCCGGGCCACGCTGTTTGCTTGTTTGTTTTTGATTTGTTTGATACAGGCTATAAAGTGGCCCAGGCTGGTGCCTTAACTTGATGTGCAATGCAGAATGGTCTCAATCATCTCGCCTTCACCTCCAAAGTGCCAAGATTACAGATGTGTGCCACAGTACCTAGCTATAAAACCCAAGGCCTCCTGCATCCTAGGCAAGGGTGCTACCACTGAGCTATCCCCCTAGCTCAGGGGCCGGGCTTGCTCCTGCAGGAGCTCACCAGAGTCCCCAAGAGGCACACCTGTTGTTTTCAGGCGCTCATTAGGTAGCCCCTAACTACTTTGACTTCCCGGTTCTCTCCCCCTTGGGAAACCTGACTTCCTTTCCTTTCAGGTCATCTCCCGGAAGCATCTGGCTGTCTGCCAGCCTTCCTACAATGGGCTGCTGATTAGCAGTATGGAAATACCGCTGCCCCTAGCATCGGCTCTTAGCAGCATTCTGCCCATCACCCTGCTCACAACTTCCTCGCTTTCTCCCCAATTTTTGCAGTTATTTAAAGCTTCCAGAAAATGTCTTTCAGCTCCTAGTTTTCCTTCTTTAGTTAATTAACTAATTAAATATTGACACAGGGTCTCACTCTGTACCTGCTCTAACAGCCCAGGCTGGCCTTGAATTTGTAAGCGATCCTCTTGTCTCAACTTCCTGATTGCTAATTGGCAGGAGCCACCAGTCCCAGTCTTCTTGTCTCTGTAGAACAGAGTCCTAGCTACAGCTAGCTGCTGTTGGCCAAAAGGAGAAAGCCTCTGCCAGCCAGACATGTTCACCATGTGACCCATGAGCCCCTTATGCCCCAGGACAACTATGAATGCAATCCAACACAAAATTGTAAACTCACCTAAAATGAGGTTGCGGGGGTAATTTCTTTTCCTCTAACTTGATTGTGTGGCTTTGGAGCATGACATGTGCAGGTGACAATCTCACCTCTCAGTGTTAGGCTGGACACACTTGAGGGACTCTCTAAGGAGTGTGAATTGTTCATTACCAATCCACCCTCAGCAACATCAGGAAACCATCATCTCTATGAGCACCTGCCCATCGCCTCTGTGATCATGATAACATATGGAGGGCACTCTCTGATCTCCAGACACTCTCCCTCACCCTCTCAGTAGGGTCATATCAGGAACCCTGTACCTCAGCTTGTGGGAATACCTTACAATAACTACTCTCAGACATTAGGAAGTGGGGAGGGGAAACTTAGAGCTTGTCACGTCTTGTCTCAGTTCACATTCCCTCTGCACAGACCATAGGTGGCAGTGAAAACTAGACAAGGTGCCAGGAGAGAGGACCTAATGGAGAGGTGTGTGTTTGTGTGTGTGTATGCATGTGACAAACACACACACACATGCATGTGCTTGCACAGTATGCATGCGAGTATTCATGAGGGCTAGAAAAGGGCACCAGATCCTCTAGAGTGGAAGGCAATTCTGAGTAGCTTGACCTGAATGCTGGGAACTGAACTCTGTTCCTCTGTAGAAGGAACGGCGGGCTGCGTTCCCGCCCAGCTCCTGCATGGCTAGCTTAGCCCTGGAATAATTTACACGGAAACTGTATTCTTTTAAACACTGCCTGGCCCATTATCTGTAGCCTCTTATTGACTAACTCTCACATCTTGATTAACCCATTTCTAATAATCTGTGTACCACTACAAAATGGTGGCTTATCGGGAAGAGTCTAACCACCGTCCGTTTTGGGTAGGAGAAGCATGGCATCTGACTCACTTCCCTTCTTCCCAGCATTCTGTTCTGTCTACTCCACCCACCTATGTTCTGACCTATCAGGCCAAGCAATTTCTTTATTAACTAACCAATGAAAGCAACACATAGAAAGAAGACCCATCTACATCAGGTATATATATCAGTGTTGTAGGAGGCTGCTTGTGTGTTCCTGGCCACCCAGACTCCCGAAATAACCACACAGAAACTATATTATTTGCAATACTGTTTGACCAATAGCTTAAGCATATTTCTGGCTAACTCATATCCTAAACTAACCCATCTCCATTAATCTGTATATTGCCATGTGGCTGTGGTTTACCAGCGAAGTTTTGGTGTGCTTGTCTCTGGTGGTGGCTCCATGACTTCTCTTGACTCTGCCTTCTTTCTCCCAGCATTCAGTTTAGTTTTCCCCACGTAGCTCTGTTCTACCCTATCAGACCAAGGCAGTTTCTTTATTAACCAATGGTATTCACAGCATACAGACAGAAATTCCACATCATGTCAGTGTAGATGATTTTCACTTATACTGTTATGTTTTTTAAATGGTGCTGAGGGGGGTCACACTCAGAGTCACATATACTAGGTTATTACTACCACTGATCTATATTTCAGCTAATATGACTGCTGGGGAAAAATAATCTTCCACAGGGGGATTGCACACTGTGAGTAGATAATGATTCATAGTATAATATGTAATTTATTTCCTTAAAAATTTTCATAATCTGGCCGGGCGGTGGTGGTGCACGCCTTTAATCCCTTTAATCCTTTTAATCGGGAGGCAGAGGCAGGCGGATCTCTGTGAGTTCGAGACCAGCCTGGTCTACAAGAGCTAGTTCCAGGACAGGCTCCAAAACCACAGAGAAACCCTGTCTCGAAAAAAAAAATTCATAATCTATGTAATCTAATATAGTAATATAAAATATAATAATAGTTAATACTATTTTACTCAACAATATAGCTATAAACATTTCATAGCATTCTTCTGAGACTTCATTTAAGTAAGGACTAAACCTTTTTTCTTCTTTTTTTGTAGTGTTGTAAATAGAATTCAGGGCCTAATGCATCCTGGATAAGTGCTCTACCACTGAACTATATTTCCAATCAACATGGCTATTTTTGGAAAATACAATCACCACAAGGTGATCGCATATAGATAAGGAGTGAATGGTTCCTATAGCTTAGATAGCCACACCCAATGTAATGTTATTTCTCCAACAGTAGGTCTCTAAACATCCCACTACATTCTTTTTTTTATATTTATTTATTTATTATGTATACAATATTCTGTCTGTGTGTATGTCTGCAGGCCAGAAGAGGGCACCAGACCTCATTACAGATGGTTGTGAGCCACCATGTGGTTGCTGGGAATTGAACTCAGGACCTTTGGAAGAGCAGGCAATGCTCTTAACCACTGAGCCATCTCTCCAGCCCATCCCACTACATTCTTGTGCAATATCATTAACATGGCAGCTTTGGGAAAATTCAATTTGCCACTAGGAGGAGGATTTGCACATGTGAATAGTTAAGAAGATAATGATTTTTAATAGTTAATGTAATACTTAACACAAATACTCTTCTACCCAACAACATAACTGGTAAAAATCCTTATACATCACTTAAATGCTATTTTTTCTTTTCCTTTTTATGCTTCCCTCTCTTTCTTCTTTTTCAATACTGGTTATGCAACACAGGGCCTTATGCTTGCTAAGTAAGTACTCTACCAATGAACTACTCCCAGACCTTAAAGTGTTTATAAAAACATGGTGTCTTCCCCAGAATAATGCTCTCTAGAAGTAACATTAAGATCCATATCTCTCTAGACTTCTTCCCATACTTGTTCAACCATATATATTCTACTTTTAGTAAAATTAAAACATTATATTGGTGTAGGAGGTCCTTCTTTTTATGTGTTGTTTGTATTGGTTAATGAATAAAGAAATTGCCTTGACCTTGGTAGGGCAGAACATAGGTAGGCAGGGAAAATTAAACAGAATGCTAGGAGGAAGAAGGCAGAGTCAGAGAGCAGCCATAGAGCTGCCAGAGTCAGACATGCTGAATCTTTCCTGGTAAGCCACTGGCACATGGCGATACACAGATGAATAGAAATGGGTTAAATTAATTTGTAAGAATTAGCCAATACAAAACTAGAGCTAATGGGCCAAGCAGTGTTTTAATGAATACAGTTTCTGTGTGGTTATTTTGGGGGCTAAGCTAGCTGGGTGACTGGGAAGAACAAAGGGGCCCTTCTTGTAACATTATATGACTCTGTTTATGTTACTTTAAAAACTGTCAGTTTTTACAAGTTGTAAAGTTATATCTTATTTTCCCACTGTTGTAAAAAATGTTTTTTAGATTTCTTATTTTGCGTGTGCGAGTGTCTTGCCCACGTGGATGTGCATAGCTGGTGCCCAAGAAGGTCAGAAGAAGGTGGGTGCTGGATCCCCTGGAACTGGAGTTGCAGATAGTTGTAGGCCATTATGTGGCTGCTGGGACCTGAACCTGGGTTCTCTGCAAGAGCAACAAGTACTCTTAACCTCTGAGCATCTCTCCAGCTCCTTGTATTTTATTCTTTTGTAAGTAATTACATGGGATTTCATTGTCTGGGTTATGCTTCCTGTAACTTGTCATTTTCAAGCTAGCCGGTTTTAGCAGAACCAAAATGATCATATAGTAAAATTACACATGCATGCATGCATGAACACACATTCCTCGAGACCTTGCTGGAAATTATAGAAACCAGGCAACTGAGAGCAGACCCTTCTGCAGAGCCTCTCCAGCTTGAACTGGAGGTTAGGCTTTGTTTTGTGACTTTCACCGTGTTTTTCCCAGTGACAGCGTGAATCTTCCACTGAGGAGAAAGCTTGTTTGAGTCACTACTTTCCTTGGAGTACCTGGTTTTCCATCCTTTAGGCATCTGGACACCACAGTGGGATGCAGACGTGGACAAAACCTTGTTTTCCACCTGTCTGCTGTTTTCTTTCTGTTTATCTAAGTCCCAATGGAATAAGGAGTCCTTCTTTCTGCCCTGGCCTGTTCCTCTCCTCCTTGCTATCCACAGTTCCATTGACCTCTGTGGCTGCACAGCACCATGGAAAAGTGGTGTCTTCTGGCTTCTTTGGCAATTCTTTGCCTTTCCAGTCAGCTGAAAAAGCAAATTCTTATTGATGCTCAGCAGATCAACAACCGGGGGCTTACTACCCACTTTTTTTTTTACTACCTCAGAGCAGCTGTGCCCTCTTTCCTCCATCGTCTGGAAATCTTGTTCCCACTCTTGTGCCCAGCATCGGTATGTCTTCCTGGGGTGTCCTGCTCCCTGGTATCTCTCTTGCTCCCTGTGCTGAGGTATCTTGGTGGTGGAAGGTATATTTTTCTGTTTTCAAGAAGGTCCATGTTGGCTTTTGGAGATTTCTCCTCTCCCAGTTTCTCTTTATCTTTCTTGATTAGGTCACTGTCTTAGGTATGCCAGGATCTGTATGAGCTTGCCAATGACAGTGTCGTCTTGAGTTAGTGTGGTATGGACCTTCATGGTCAGACATTCACTCTTGCTGTAGATAATACTGATGGGAATATGAGTGTTGGCATCCTCATCAAAGTTTATCACATGGACCATGCAGCCAGGAAGGAACAGGACATTCGGCTTACATGTTTTGTTCTCAGAAAGTACTTGGTAAATGTTACAGTCTAGACATGGTTTAAATTTATTCTTATTTTCAGAAATCTCATCTTTTTGAGTTTCCATGTGGGCTCTTTTCATTAGCTCCTCTCCATTCTTTGATGACAGCTTCTTCTCGGGCCTTCTGAAGGACAGCAAAATCTAAGCCTTTCACCCTTTGGCTGTGTTGGATCTTACCATCCAGTTTGGACTCAGGGGCTAATTTTAATTGGTTTCTTAGCTCCGCAAGAATTTTTATTTGATTTTGGCAGCCGGATAGATAGCTCCAAACAGATCGGCTTCCTGGTCATTCTTGCTTAGGCCCTCTCTCGGTTCCTTGACCAGGTCATGATATTTCCTGCTTCTCAGTATCTCTTTTCCATTTCCAAGTTTTTGTTGATAAAACTTGACATAATAACTTTTCTTTTTCCACTTTTGCTTGGCTGGGTCTTCCTTTTTAGTGTGCCCCCTTGACACGTCACGCTGAGGAGACTTAGACGGTAGTGACTTGAGTTTTCAGAAGTTTCCTGAAGTCTTCTTTTAAGAGCTTTGGCTGGTGGAAGGAATGAGGAACAACTGCCTAGCCGCTGGGTAGGGTGAGGGTGGAGGGGAGGATGGGGACATCTTAAAAAGCTCATTCAGACATTTCCCCTTTGGCCGTTCTGTTAACCGAAGGACAGGCGTGCTATAGCAGAGCATAGCAACCATCTTCACTTCGTGAACTCTGAGCCCTTCAGATGCTTTGTGACTCTCAAAAGCTTTGTGGCCTCCAATCTCAGGAACTTCCTGCCCTTGGGGACTTCGAGCCCCTCAGAAGCTTTTCCAGTTTCACAACCCAGAAGCTCCCGGTCCCCACACTCCGAAGAAGTCCCCCCCCCCCCAGAGGCTTGGTGCCCCATAGAAGCTTCCTGGCCCCTTGGAAGTGTTGTCTTGGGAGCTTCCTGTGGTGCTGTGTGTCTTAAGTTTTTCCAGCCAACGTTCCTGACAACCCTGGGAAGTGCGGTTTAAGCACAGGCAATATGGTGAATGTTATTTAGTTTATGGCACCTTCTCAAGGACTTGGGGTATGGCTCAGTGGCAGAATGATTGCCGAAACAGGACGGGAGTTCAACCTCAGAACCACTAGGAACACACGACATAAAAAATGAAAACAAAACAAAACAAAATCCCTGCACCTTTTCAGCCCAGTTTGTTACCCTTCATGGATATATATGTGTATATATATTTGAGTGTGTGTTGGAGGAGAACACTGGGACATGCAATAACCCCCGTTCCTGCTTCTCCGAATACTTCTTACTCCATCTGCTAGTGAGAAGACTCAGTGGGGTAAAAGCACTTGCTTATGCAACTCTGACGATCTGAGTTCTATCCCAGGAATCCAAGTTAAAAAGCTAGATGCGGCGGCTAGCATGTGTTATTCCAGTCCCAGCCAGTTAGCCTGTGGTGAGAACGATCTTTGTTGTAAGTTTCCCGAGAGTTTTGCTGTGCTTCCATTGTTCTTTATTTCTTTCTTGAGAATTTCTTTAGGGTTTGGGAAAGGTCCTTTAGCTAATTCCATGCTGTTTTTATTTATAGAGATTCCCAAGTATCCTCTGTCATTCTGTCATTTATTGAGATCCCAAATGTCCCCCCAAATGTCTCACACTGAACCTGGAACTTTCTGGGTTTTGGCTAGGCTGGCTGGCCAGCAAGCTCCAGGGATCCCCCTGTCACTGTATCCCCAACACTGGGGTTGCAAGTACAGGCCACTCCATCTGGCTTTTTACATGGTTGCTGAACATCTAAACCCACTCCTTCTCATATTTCTGCAGCAAGCATCCTCACTGAGCTGTCTCCCCAGCCCCTCCTAATACCACAGGTTGTCTCCCGACCACATTAGATGTTTTGACAATCTGCACAATGTCTACTAGAAATGAGCACTTCTGAGGCTGGGAGTGCACCTCAGCGGTAGAGTGCTTTCCTTGCTGTGTGTTGTCCTGGGCTCTATCTTCAACACCACCAGCAAGCAAACTAACAGTTTATTGGTAAAACAAGGAACAAGCTGCACTCTCTTAGACACTTTAGCACAGACAATACAATCGAATCTGGATCAGCAAGTAGTGTGTGCTAAGTGACCTAAGTTCTAGGTTTGGTAGCTCTTGCCAGAAGGGTGGTGTGTCTCATGAGGCTTTGTTTCAGGAGAAGCCAAATAAAAAACAAAATATCGAATGTCCAGCCATGAATTTAAACATTCTGATTTTCCGAGGTAACCTAAAAGGCTAAAAGTGTCCTGTTTGTACAACACTGTAAGATACTGTCTCTATTATAACACTGTAGCCACTGCCCCAATTATAACACTGTAGCCACTGCCTCTATTATAACACTGTAGCCACTGCCCCAATTATAACACTATAGCCACTGCCTCAATTATAACACTATAGCCACTGCCTCAATTATAACACTGTAGCCACTGCCTCTATTATAACACTGTAGCCACTGCCCCAATTATAGCACTGTAGCCACTGCCCCAATTATAACACTGTAGCCACTGCCTCTATTATAACACTGTAGCCACTACCCCAATTATAACACTGTAGCCACTGCCTCTATTATAACACTGTAGCCACTGCCTCTATTATAACACTGTAGCCACTGCCTCTATTATAACACTGTAGCCACTGCCTCTATTATAACACTGTAGCCACTGCCTCTATTATAACACTGTAGCCACTGCCTCTATTATAACACTGTAGCCACTGCCTCTATTATAACACTGTAGCCACTGCCTCTATTATAACACTGTAGCCACTGCCTCTATTATAACACTATAGCCACTGCCTCAATTATAACATTGTAGCCACTGCCCCACTTAGACATCTGAAGCCACTGCCTCGATTATCAGTTCTAACACTGAGCCCATTGTTCCACATAGAACTCGGCTGCTTCTGCCTCAGGGTTCTGAGTCTAGGAAGAGCTTGTATAGCTGTAGCTGTATCTGCTTGTTTATATATGTGTGGACAGATTGGGCCAGGTACCTGCTTTCATTAGAACTGAAAGGCAAGGTAAGGAATAAGTAGACACTACCTTCCTCATCAGTGGTTCATGTATGCCAGACAGAAATGGCTCCAGTTGGTTCACAATATAATGTCTAATGATTTGGGTTTTTTTCAAACCTATTTCCACAGACATCTAAAATGCTTCTAACATTTTTCATTTATTTACATGAAATGCTGCAGCACTATCCATTTTTAAAATATGCATGAATTTTTAATAACTGCAAATATTTTTGCATCTTATAATAGTTTGCCTAAATCTAGTCTTGAACCTAGTTCTGGCTGATACTACAGCCCAAGTCTTTTCCAGTGCATGTCAAACTAAGTTTCTAGAAGACTGAACCTGGAAATGAAAGTGCCAGAAGTTAGTAATAGATGTTTTTACCAGTTCTTATTTGTAGCCCTATTTCCAGATCTAATTGCCTTTTAAGCTCTCTGGGTCAGTTTTAAAATGATTTGCCATCTTTGTTATAGGTATGGTTTTCCCCAAACAAATACAGAAAAAACCCTATCATTACAAATTAATTTTTAACCTGAGAAGGTCCAAAGCTCAAACTGTCAGTACAGGGAGCTAAATATAATGTCTCACACTGAGAAATATATCCAATGCCCCGCTTCATAATTCAGCGCAGCTAGTATAATCTGGAAGGATGTCAGGCCCACATTTCCTGTTCGTGGGGAAATTTGTTCTCTTAGCTGCATTCTATCTACATTGATCTACCAACGAAGAAGGGAACTAGCAATAGTCCCCAAGAAATGACAAGCTCATCTTAACGGCAAAGGCTAGGAATGGAATTATTCTAATTTACCAGAGATAGGCCCACTGAATAGAAAGGAGTGTCTTTAAATCCATTCTTCAGAGGCAAGAGATTTGATGTGGATTCCTTCCTTCCTTCCTTCCTTCCTTCCTTCTTTCTTTCTTTCTTTCTTTCTTTCTTTCTTTCTTTCTTTCTTTCTTTCTTTCTTTCTTTCTTTCTTTCTTTCTTTGTCTACATTACACAGTGTTTTACAGCCTGTGTTTCTAAGAACTGGGTCGGGTTTTGCAATATGGCTAATTTATTTTGAAGTGCCTGATACTTACATTATTAGTCAAGCAGTGTATATAATGCCATTTTAATTCTTGAATCTTTAAGACAAAGGACATTTAATTGCAGCAATAGCTCACCTCCCTGTACCATACATTGGATACACAGTTTAGTGTGACTTAACTTTCTTTTCTGTGCTGAGAATCCAACTCAGGGCCTGGCACAATCTAGGCAAATGTTTTTCTGCTGAGCTATATCCAAGTCCAAAATGTAACTTATTTTATCCTAAATGAATCCTTCTGTGATTTGCCCTCCTACAGATACTATTTCATACACTCAACACGCCTCTTCCTCCATGTCCCCAGCCAACTGAAAGTGAATTCTCTCTTTCCTGGTCCTTCAGAATACTTTATCTTTAAATTTATTTACACAGGGTCTCACCATGTAGCTCAGGATGGTTTTGAACTTTCCATGCTCTTGGGCTGGGGAAATGGTTCTGTTTGTAAACTGTTTGCTACACAAATATGATGACCCCAGTTTGATCCCCCAGAGCCCATTGAAAGAGCCAGATGTGGTGTTGTGTACTTGTAAGTCCCACAGTGGGTAGACAAATGGATCACTGGAGCCAGCTAAGGTGAATCAATGAGCTCCAAGCCAATGAAATGACCTGTCTCAAAAAATAAAGTAGATGGCACCCAAGGAATGCCACCTAAGGTTGACCTTTGGCCTTCACACTGCACGAGCTTGTACACACACACACACACACACACATGCATATATGCATTCACGCACACACACCCCCTCCATTCTTCTGCCTCAGCCTCCCAAATGCTGGGATTTTTATCGTTCCTTACCTTAGACAGCAGAGTCCGCCCTCTGTTTGGACTGTGGGTTTCTGAGCAAGAGCAGTTGCTCATTCAGAGCTGCCTGGGTTCTGTTTGTAGTTTACACAGCACAGCATCATTGGTAGTTGAACTTCACATCTCTGAAAGTGCACTGATAAAGACTTCTGGCTAAACAACTTAGTGACAACACTCCTGGTCTTTGTGGGAGTTTGGTTTCAGGACCCTCTTGAATAACCAAATGTGCGTGGGTGTTCAAGCCCCTTATATAAAGTGGTGTACTGTCTGCAGAGAACCAATACATATCCTCTTGTAAACCTGAAATTATCTGTACATCATTTATAATCTCTAAGATAATATAAATGCTACACAGCTCTATTGTGTTGTTCAGGGAAAAGAAGCTAACGAAGAGTTGGTACATGTTCAGTAAAAACGGTTTTTTTTTTCCCAGAACAGTTTAGACCTGGAGTTGGTTAAATCTTTATACATGGAGCCTATGGCTACAGAGGGCCAGGTCAACAGTCCATTCACATTTGGAATTTTCTGCAGCTGTAGCAAAAAACAGGAAGGTTTTTGGATTGATCGTTAAGATATACTGTTGAATAAAAAAAATCAAACAAAGGCCAGGTGGTGGTGGTACACACCTTTAATCCCAGGACTTGGGAGGCAGAGATGGATGGGTCTCTGTGAAGTCAATACCAGCCTGGTCTACAGAGCAAGTTCCATGATAGCCAGGACTACACAAAGAAATCCTGTCTCAAAAGACAAAACAAAACCAAAAATATCAAAGAACTGCATGCCACTATTTCTATACAGAGGAGGAGATGTATGACAGAGAGATAAGCATCTCTGAAGAAAGTACGAGCAACTGATAAAATTGATTACTGTGGCAATTTGAAAGAAAATGGCCCTCAAAGGGAGTGACACTACTAGGAGGTGTGGCTTTGTTGGAGGAAGTGTGTCACTGTGGAGGCTGCCTTTAAGGTCTCATATGTGCTCAAGTCACACCTAGTGTCTCAGTTCACTTCCTGTTGCCCACACACAATGTAGAACTCTCAGCTACTTCTCTGGCATCTTGTCTGCCTGCACACCACCATATCCTGCCATGATGATAATGGACTGAACCTCTGAAACTGTAAGTGAGCCACGCCAATGAAATGTTTTCCTTTACAAGAGTTGCTGTGATCACAGTGTCTCTTCACAAACAGTAGAAACCCTAACTAAGATACTTTGGAAAGAGAGGAGCAGGGAGGCTGAGGAGAGGGGTGTTGAGTAATAAGTAAGGCAAGACCCACTTGAAAGTAACTGAGTAAGGCTGTCTAAATGCCCTAGCATCAGCTATGTAAGTGATTGGCGGCTTTGAAGTTACTTGATTTTCAATTAAGTTTAAACTTTAGCTCCAGAATCTGTTCTTTTTAGCCCAGAATCTGCCCTTGAAGGGGAGACTTTTAAAGTACACTGTACAGGCTTGCAGTGGAGAAGGGAGTGCCAGCAGAGAGAAAAATCATTGATCAAAGTGACCCTTAGTCATTCATAGGTCATTAGGAGGTTGGATTTAAGGCATGCGTCATTAGCCATCTTTAGTGTCATTTAGGATGTTTTTTTTTCAGAGAGAGGGGGTGCAATTCTTATGCAGGTGGTCTAGTCAGTGATGTCAAAATTCCTGGGTATCTTCTAGAAAGAAACAGAAATCCGAATTGGGAGAGTAGAGGAAGCCCTTTCCTTCATCGTGTCTCCTCTATTTTCTAACTATCTCCCCTGTCTCAGGACCTCAATATCCTTCAGGGATACCCAGAACCTGTGGCTTTTCCCATTGCTTTGTATGAAATTGAGTAGCATTTGCGTTTGATCTATGTGCATCCTTCTGGCATCTTTAAACCATGTTTAAGTTACTAGCAGTACATAGTGTGATCTAAATGCTCTGTAAATGACTGTTATATTGTTTAGAAAATAATGACAAAGAAAATGTCTGAAGATGCTCAGTTAAGACAATCTGGAATGTGTTTTTCTCTCTATGATAGGTTGAACCCACAGATGCTGCACCCATGGATATGGAGAATCAACTACACACCCTTTGTCCTCATATTTTTTTAAGATTTATTTGATTTTGGGGCTGGAGAGATGGCTCAGAGGTTAAGAACACTGACTTTTCTTTCAGAGGTCCTGAGTTCATTTCCCAGCAACCACATTGTGGTTCATGACCATCTGTAATGAGATCTGGTGCCTTCTTCTGGCCTGTAAACATCCATGCAGACAGACACTGTGTATATAATAAATAAATCTTCAAAAAATTAATAAAAAAAGATTTATTTGATTTTATGTGCATGTGTTTGTACCTAACTGTATATGTGTCCATCACATAGGTACAGGTGCCTGTGGAGCTAGAAGAGGTACTAGTGTTACAGGTGAGACAGCCAGTGTGGGTGCTGAGGACCAAACCTAGCTAGTGTTCCTATCCATGGAACTATCTCCCCAGTCCCTGTTGTCTTGAAATTTGAATAATGCAAATACAATACTTGCCCAAAGACATGAATAAACAAAATTTAAAAATTAAACAACCAAAACTATACTGTGGAACAATAGGTTTGTACACTATGAATATGCATTACTCTCACTGGCTAATATAAGTTTGTTGGACAATAGCCAAGCAAAAAGTACAGGCGGGATGATCAAACAGGATACAGGGAGAAAGAAGAATGGAGTCGGAGAGTTGAGAGGAAACATGGAGAAGCAAGATGAAGGTGCCATGTTAATAAAGATACCACCACATGGCAGAGCATAAATAGGGAATATGGGTCAACCTAAAATGTAAGGATTAGCTAATAATAAGCCTGAGCTATTGGCCAAGGATTTATAATTAATATAAGCCTCTGTGTGGTAATTTGGAAGTGGCTTCTGGGACCAGAAAACTGCCTGCAAACGAGGAAGAGCAAACCAGGAGGACAGCACCTGTCTAAAAAGAATGTGTTGTTTTTCTTGCTGCAACAAAATATGTGACAAAAGCAACCTAAGGAAGGAAGGGTTTGTGTGGCATCATAGTTGGAGGGCACAGTGGCAGGAGCATGCTGCAGCAGTCAGGAAGCATCCCCCCACCCCGTATCTGCTTCAGCTTCCAGCTCCCTCTCCAAGAGGCAGCTTCCGTCTGTCCCTTCTCCCCACTTCTCTCCTTCCCCCTTCTGTTTCTCTCTCTCTCTCTCTCTCTCTCTCTCTCTCTCTCTCTCTCTCTCTCTCTCTCTCTCTCTCTCTCTCTCTCTCTCTCTCTGCTTTTCTCCCCTTTCCCTTCCATAACCCACTAAATAAATATCCAACCTCACTCTGCATGGTGTGCCTATCTATGTCTCTGTCTCTTGCCTGCCACGTGTCTCCCTGCCCAGGACCAGCCACCTTTGGAGACCTGCCGGGTGGTCTCATGGTATGCCCATCTGTCTGTCTCTCCTTGTGGAATTGGCTGCCCCACTGAGGTCTCTCACACACCATGCAGCTCCCTTCCTGGGGCTGCTGCTCCCTGCCTGGGACTTTCTGCACCTTGTAGTAATAGGGGCGGTGGCGGGGCTGCATCCCCAGCACCCTGGCTGCCTGCTCGGCTAGCTTATGCCCCGAAATAACAACACACAAACTGTATTCTTTTAAACACTTCTTGGCCCATTCTCTTCTAGGCTAATTCTCACATATTAATTTAGCCCATTTCTAATCATCTGTGTGTAGCACCCCAAGGTGCGCTTACCGGGGAGATTCTAGCCTAGTCCATCCTGGGTCGGAGCTTCATCCTGGGAGCGGGGCATGGCGTCTCTCTCAGGCGTCTGCTCCTGAGAGGAGAGCCTTCGAGTCTGACCTCACTTCCTCTTCCTCCCAGCGTCCTGTTCTGCCTACTCCTCCCACCTATCTTTCAACCAATAAAATGGGCCAAGGCAGTTCCTTTATTAGCCAATGACCTTCCTCCATCAGCCCCTCATGGCCCACTGTAGCCACTTGGGGAACTGCACTGTCCCTGCTTGGGACTGGTTGCTCTTGGGACCACTGCCCGCTGCCTGCTGTCACTTCAGGGACCTGCAGTGTGGTCTCAGGGCCTGCTGCAGCCACTCAGGGATCTGCAGCATTTTACTTAAACCATTACAGTCTTAGTTAGGGTTTCTAATGCTGAGATTAAACACTAAGACCAAAAAGCAAGTTGGCAAGGAAAAGGTTTAGTTGGCTTACACTTCCACATCACTGTTCATCATTGAAGGAAGTCAGAACAAAAACCCAAGTAGGACAGGAACCTGGAGGCAGGAGCTGATGCGGAGGCCATGGAGGGATGCTGCTTACTGACACGCTTCCCATGGCCTTCTTAGCTTGCTTTCTTATAGAACCCAGGACCCCCAGCCCAGGGATGGCACCATCCACAATGGACTGGGCCTTCCCCCTATCAATCACTAATTAAGAAAATGCCCTACAGGCTAGCCTAGTACCCAATCTTATGGAGATATTTTCTCAATTGAGGTTCCCTCCTCTTAGATGACTTCAGCCTGTATCAAGTTGACACAAAACTATCCAGTACAGTTATGCAAGCAGCAATTCAAGAATTGGGTGGTTCCTACCAGGGGTGATTCAGGAGCTCCACCTGGGGATGTCCAGGGAATGGCTTTCATGGGCTGGATGGGACAGAGAACAAAGGAAACGTATAACTGACACAACTGTACAGCTCCTGTCTTTGATCTATCCCATCTGAAAAAACCCGTTAGGCAAGTTTGTGTCTGGTGACTTGAGCCTCCATTGTGTGTGTTTTTCTTTGCTATGAAGAATTACAAGAACTATGTGGCTGGGGAGATAGTTGAGTGAGAAAAGTACTTGGTGTACATGTATGAGTACTCTAGTCTGGATCCCCAGTGTCCATGTAAAAGCTGAATGCAGTGGGACATGGCTATAATCCCGGCATTGGGGAAGCAGATAAGTGACTCTTTGACATTGACCTCTGGTTTCCACACACAGAGAGACACATGTACATGCATGTGCATATGTATGCGCGTGCGCGCGCACACACACACACCCCCCAAAAACACCTGGCAGCACTTAGTGTGTCTCTAAAGTTGTTGTGCTGGAATTTAATCTTCAACACACATTTATGAAGCAAGGAATGCTAAAGATTGCCCCAAACTACTAGACACCAGGGGACAGGGCATCTTCTAAACAGATTCAGGCAGTGGGACCTGGACAGGAGTGATGAGTTTGGACTCTTCCTCTCCTACCCTTTCTTTATCATGCTACCATGAGATGATTTAGCAAAAGACACTCTCCACATGTGGCACCTCACTCTGGCCAGTCCTGCTTTCGGAAGCTTCAAGTTCTCGGTAATATCAAGGGAGACACAGTAAGCTACAACTCAAGCTACATTTCAATTCTGTCTACGCATGAAGCAAAGATGAGGTCATTTGTGAGACTTAACTGACTGTTCCAGGATGATTCTCCAGGTTTTGTCTCCATTTGAATTGACCTTAACAAGCTGAGAAAAATGGCACATGCCTGTTATCTTAGCATTCCAGATGCTGAGGCAGGTAGATAAAGCAGTTAAGGCCAGCCTGGTATACTCAGTGAGACTTTGTCTAATAATAATTGTAATGATTTCAGCCACATAAGGCTGATACTTCCGGGTTCTAGGGGTCATACAGGTGCAGACAAGTCCTTAGGCAGAAGTGCCTAATGGCCCTGAGGATGTTAAAAGCTCCCCCCATGACCCATGTGATGCGTGGATTACATCATCCACTTATGATTCAGCTAAGCCCTTGTGTGCATGTCTGGTTACATCATCAACATATGACTCAGCTAAGCCCTTGTGCATATGTGTGAGCCCCCTCATCTGCATATGACGTAGTCACATCAACCCCTGTGTGCATGCGCTAGGCAGCTTTTAAAAGCTGGATGTGACGTCTTCCTCCCTCTCTCTCCCTCTCTCTCTCTCTCTGCACACTGACTTCACCATGCCTGTACACGTCCCCTCTAATAAACTCCTAAGCAGGTTTGTTGCGTGTTCCGTGTTTCCTTCTCACTCGTGCCAGGTAATTTCGATAATAATAATAATAATAATAACAACAACTCACATATGGTGATGTACCACCCAATCTCAGTATTTGGGAAGCAGAGGAAGAAGGAGCAAGAGTTCAAGGCCAGCTTTGGTTACATTCTAAGTTCAAGGTCAGCCTGGACTACAGGAGAACCTGTCTCAAAATAAAATTAATTAATTTAGTTTTAACAAAAGGCCCTGAGATAAAAGTCACTGCTACCATCATATTTTACTCATCAGAAAACTAAAACACAAGCCGGGCATGGTGACTCATGCCTGTGGAGTCTGGGGCAGAATTCGTTGTTCTGGGCACCTACTATGAGCAGACTGGCCTACCCAGGAATAACCTCAGTACCCCCTGCTCCCCAGTCTGTTTTAAAAGTATTTTGATATGATAAAATGCAGAGAAAGACAGGAAAATCTGACAATCCAGCTTGGGTTACATGCCCAACCCTATAGCAAGAGGATGGGGACATACTGTGGCTGTTATGCCCAGATCACAAAGTCCCCCCAAAACCAACTGGGAGACCAAGCCCTGTATGTAAAAGCAAAGAGCCCTTATTCTTATTCAAGTTCAAACTCGGACTCTCTGTGTGTCCAATGCATTGGCACAATCAGAGAGCCTTGAACTTAGTTGGGGTGGGCTTTTTAGTAATAGTGGAGGTTGGGATGAGGGATTTCTAAGGTTTAGGACCCCTGATTGGCTAACATTTGTCTAGGGTTGTCCTGGTGAAAAGCGATGGGTGTGTGCTGGCTAGTGATCTCATCTACAACATTTGGAATGTTAGGAACTTCCTTTGGATGATCTGTTCCTGGGTGGTGCCTGGGTGGTCTCAGTTTGTGGTCTTTATCTGAACCAGGTATTGCCTCAGGGTAAACTACTGAGACTTAGACCTCTATAGAGCTTGTCTTGGCTGGGCCCTATAGTGATGGCCATATTGGAAGGAGGGCCCAGTCTCTAGGAAGAGAAGTTCTCTTACCAGAAGAAGACATCCAGGCATGATGAACTAATGAAAATCAGAATACCCATTAAATTTGGAATCCCAACGATGTCCAGCAAGCCACCAGGAGCTAGGGGATAAGCAAGGAAGCCTTTCAGCTTTCAAGAACAGCCAAACCTTCTGACACCCTGATCTTGGATTTTCAGGTCTCCAAA